GGTTGACCTATCCTTCCGAGTGGTGTATATTTTGCACATTTCTTAATTACTTTGTCCGGTATTCCAGGTTTTAATACAACTCCTACACTGTATGGAAAATGTATGAAATTTAAGTTCAAATGTTTTGCCACAACATAACACATACCTCAGAGTATTAACTCGTATACCCTGTGGACCCAACTCTATGGCCAATACATTGGATATCGTTGTGAGAGATGTTTTGGCCAAATTGTAGGCCAACTGAGATTTTTTCTATAAATATAAATGTTTATTAAATTATAAATTATAGGATAGTATTACCGGTCTCTCGGATATAATGCTTCCGATATTAATTATGGATCCGTTTGTCTGAAGCAAATACGGGACACTCAGTCGTATGAGTTGTAGGGATGCCTTCACGTCAACCCTCAAAGATTTGTCCAAAATATCCAAAAAGTCTTTTTCAGTTCCGTTGCCCTCTATTAAGACACCGGCGTTATTGACCAATACATCCAATCTATTGAATGTCTTAATTGTCTCATTCAACAGACGCTCAATATCTGCATCTTTGGTCAGATCCGCCACAACTCCCAATGGCTTTACAAATGATATTCAATTTAAATATAATTTCTAAAACAAACAAATTATTATTATTTCATTTACTTTCAGCTTTTGTGGTGATAATCGTTGGACTTCTTGTACCACTGTCTCCACTTGTGATGCATTCCTACCGGTGACCACAACACTGGCCCCCAATGCCGAGAATAGTTTCACCGTTTGTTCTCCGATTCCAGAACTACTTCCGGTCAACAAAACTACTTTTCCCGTGAAATTGCGTGAATCCCTCACTTCATCGTAGATATCATTGTTTTCAGTCAATTCAAATGCATTTGTATTTATGAACGCAATTAAAGCCAACAAATATATGGCAAACATTTTAAATAAACGATTGTATATTTATATAAAAATATCTAAAGTATACTGGTAATATGTTGTATTCAGTGGTTTCAAACTTCTAATTTCAATTGAAACATTTTACTTTATTTATATATTTGACAAAAGTGTGATAAGAAAATATTATATGTGCCTCACCTACCTTAAATGATCAGGATTAGTAATTTACTATTACTATATTTAATTAATACCCAATAGTTATCAAATAGTTTTATTTGTATATTTACACTTGATTTGTTAATATTCAATTATAAAAGATAACAAATTAAAAGTACATTTTTAGGGCAATCTATAACGTTAAATATTACATTGTATTTTAAGTTTAAATTAAGTTCAATATAATATTGATTACAATTTAATACTCCAGTAATTTGTGCCAACAATTAAGGTTTATACATGTTCATTGTGTGCCATACTATTAGTAACATATTTTCATAATTGATTAAATTGACTGGATAAGTACAAATGGTGATTTTAAAAATATTTATCAATTTAAGATTATATGCACTAAACCATATATTTTGCACTAAATTCTGGTTTTTATTTTCAAAGTAAAAGTGAAGTCTTTTCAATGACTTTTAGGATTTTCAAAATGTCAATTAACACAAACAATTTAAATAATATATAATTTTGTATAAAATAAAGTACTAAATGGCATATTGTTTTAAGAAATTTTGAATTTTTATTTTATTAACAGTTTTAAAATATGATTAAATTTTTGTAGTGAAATGTACGTTGGGCTGATTGTCCACTACTCACTGACAACGGGTTTTATAGCATTTAATACAATAGTTTAAGTGAAAGTTTGACATTCATTGCTATTTTCTAACACAATTTATGCTTACAATTACTTTAAGTTAGTTAAATTAACAATAATTTTAAACAAACTAACAATAGGGTTAATTAAAGTAATTCTACAAATACAGTATATTTTACAAATGGTAATGTTAATATAGTGTATTGTAGTATCTGATCATTTATTTGTTTAAAAAATTTATTTGTCAAGATAAAAAATCGCACGTATATTAGGAACATTTAAAGAATTTAAAATATAATATTTATAAATAACATAAAGTAAAAATAATATACAATACTATATTTATAATTTGGGTATATATCGGCGCACCGGATGTTCCTGTGGTTTGTGTGCTTTGAGTTGTCTTTTATGGGCGAATCTCTCACGACATGCCGTCTCATCGCACCTGTATTTGGGTAGAGGTTTGTGTCCAAACCGATGAGATGACAGTTCGGAGGCCTTTCTGAAGCGTTGCCGACACTGCCCTTCAGTGCACACATAAGTTCTGATGGATTGGTGGACCCGTAAGTGTTGTCTCAACGCCTGGTTTGTGGCGTATATGAGCCCACAGTCAGTATATCCACAGTGAAGACGTCTTCGCTGTTGTGGACGTCCGAGAGATGAGCGTTCATTTGGCTCACGTGGTGACAGGTGTGGCCGCACTCATCCATATCGCACACATACCGGTGCTTTGGGTGGACTCGTCTCAAATGGTCGGTGAACTGATGGCGGGTCGGGAACCGCTTCCCTCGTGTGAGACACCTCTTCTTGGGACACAAATATTGGTTGAGATCTGTGTCCAAACACTTATCAAAGTATTGAACACTCCTGTAGGCCCTCCGAAGTACTACCCGTCCGTTCGAGTGGTTCTCTATCTTATGAGTTCTTAGGGAACTCAATGTCCGACAACTATACTCGCAATCCATGAAATCACAACTCAGTGGCCACTGATTGGTGTGCGAGAAGTGGTGGGTCTGTTGGGCGCACTTCGAGCCAAAAGTCTTGTCGCAGTCCTCGTAATCGCACTCCAATTGTCTCAAAGAGTGGACGTTATGGACGTGTTTCCGTAACTGTCGGTACGTCTGGAAACTCTTCTCGCATTCCTCTTCAGTGCAGTCATAAGTGTTGACCACATTCTCGCCCATCATTGGATCAGTTGGTGACACACTTGCAGTCAATTAATGGCACAAATGTTGGATAAATCACTTGAAAGACAACAAATCACTCACTCGGACGAAGAGATGGATGAGAGAGTGATGGACAGCACGGGTAGAGACACAGGAAGACGTGGATGTGTTGTAAGTGACGGACAGAGATGTGGGGAAAGGGATGAGAGGGACGACACACTCACTCACGACTCGCAACCCATTGTCATCGATAAGACATCGGTGAACGCAATGATCTCCTGTTTGTCTGTTTTGACGCCAATTGTGTCAACCATTCAAATGGCAATCACTTCTCAATCGACACTCAAATGCAGTTCAGATGAAACACAAGGCATTCAGTGGTGATGTCGAGGTTGTGGTCAACGATACAATTGAAGTGACATCTCATTCACACAAATGCCATCATTCGGGAGACAAACCATATGTCTTGAGATGTGGGCCACAGATCTGATGGATGGGCTAATGGATGAGCTGCTGATCACAAAAGACACAAACCTTTGACACAAACTATTGAATGTGTTATTAGTTGTGAATTAGTTGTGAATACACTGTAGTTGTGGTGCTATTTGTCTGACAGTTATTACACTTTTTATACAAACTTTTATTCAAAGCTTTTCACTATATATTCAATGTATGAATGAATGAAAACAGTTTACAGTATATTATACTATAAACCTATTTATGGATTAATTAAGTCTATAATAAATACAATAATTTAAACAGAAATTACAAATTGATTTCAAATATTGATAAAAACTAAATAAATTGTTGAAAAAATATTATTTATACAGTAATCACAAGATTATTTGCATACTGTATTTCATGTCAAAGGTTAAACTATTGGGATTAAAATTTAGTAATAAATGATAAGAAGTATACAATTAATAATTCATATTGTAACGTTTAATTAAAATTTAATTAATTATAATTTGTGAAAATAACTATCTATAGTGATAATGATATATTTTTCTTAAAAATACTGAAGTTATATAATATAGATATATATAACATTTATATATAACACTTATATATAACACAAATCTGATGAATTATAGAGTAATGCTAACAAATTTATATAATATTAGGATTAACGAAGTTTGAGTCCATGTTATACTTGAGTCCGCCATCAATGACCAGATTATGACCGGTTATGAACTGAGCGTCAGTTGAGGCCAGAAATACCACACCTTTGGCTATATCTATGGGTTGACCTATCCTTCCGAGTGGTGTATATTTTGCACATTTCTTAACCCAATCCTCCATTCCTTGTTGCGATTCAACTAAACCTGCACTATAATGGTATACATAATGTGATTAATTGATTAAACAATTGAAATATAATACAAATAATACCACAAACCATACCTAACAGTATTAACTCGTATACCCTGCGGAGCCAACTCTATGGCCAATACTTCAGACATCTTTGTCAAAGAAGTTTTCACCAAATCGTAGGCCAAACCAGAATTTTGCTAATAATTAAAAGTTTTGTTCAAATAATACTAATCGTTGTAAATTTAATTATCAATTATAAACTACTAAATTACCGGTCTCTCGGATATAGTGCTTCCGATATTAATTATGGATCCGTTTGTCTTTTGCAAATACGGGACACTCAGTCGTATGAGTTGTAGGGATGCCTTCACGTCAACCCTCTCCAGCTTATCGAGAATATCCATAAAGTCATTATCGGTTACATTAGCCGTCGTATAGACGCCGGCGTTGTTCACCAATACATCCAATCTATTGAATGTCTTCACCGTCTCATTGAACACACGCTCGACGTCCGCATCCTTTGCCAGATCTGCCACCACTTCTAATGGCTATTAAAAAGTCTTATTTATGTCTATTATATAACAAATTTAAATTATAATACTTTTAGCTTTTTTGGTGATAATTCATGAGTTTCTTCGGCTATTTCTTTTATCCTGTCCTCTCGCCTACCGGTGACCACAACACTAGCACCCAATGCCGAGAATAGTTTCACTATTTGTCCCCCAATACCACCACTACTACCGGTCACTAAAACCACTTTTCCGGTGAAATCGCGTGAATTTCTCACTTCTTCGTAGATATCTTTTGATGACATTTTCAACGATTACTTTTGAAATTTTTGATGAGAAATCGATTTAGTCGTACAAAGTTACAAAAAATAGCTGAAAAGCTGGTGTCAAATAGTACGACAAACTATAAAAATGTTGTATTTTTAATCGTTTATAATTTTTTAACTTTTCAAGTTACACAAATAATTTTTTCATATTTATTTATCATTTAATAAGCTTATTCTATATTGTTAATTGCACCAAATTATATTGACAATTTGTAAACTATGGACACTACCTTTCATTTATTTGACTCTTTTAAAAAATTATTATTTCTTATATAGTTTTGGGAAATAAATGATATCTATTACGTTAATAAACTTTGTACTTACAGTAGAGTACATAATGTGTGTAGTGATAACATTGAGATCAATGTTAGACTTATTGATAAAAACCAAGGTTTTTGTCCAAGGTCTTAACTTAATCCAAGGTTAAATGTTTCATAAATTGTTTGAACGATAATTTACATGTACTGTATATCGCACGGAATATCACTGTATAAGCGGTGCAGACATCCAGTGTCTCCCCTATGGGTCTCCGGTAGGAATCACTCCACTCTCCGACGAGACGAACAGTTTTTCCCCAGAATTCTGTTATTTATTACAGAAATTGAAAACTTTCACAAAAATGAGTCAATAAAAGTTTGATTCGTTGAGCATTTATTTTGAATGTTCCTGATAATATTATTTAGATTATAGAGTAGTTTCTACTCAGTAGACTATAGGTTATGAGTATGATTGGTAATTTCTTAATTATCTTAACATAATCCTCATTACAGTATTGAGTAAATGCACTAAAATTGCCATTACCTTGTTAGACTTATTGAATCTATTTAACATTATTTATTATAAATTGTGATTACTAAATTTAAGAACAGTACTCTATTATACAGTACTAGATACTTACATAAAATTCAATAATAATTTAATAAGTTTTGTTTAGCCAAATTTTATTATATAATAATTTTTACAAATTATTTTTCATCAATTCATATTTAATTGTTAAGATTTTATAAATTATATGAATACAGTATATTATATTTAAAATTTAGCTTAATATTTTTAGAATAGTGGTCAAAATTGTTTAAAATTATTTTAAACAGACATTTGTTTAATAAGTTTTAATCTAATCTACATTATTATCCACATTCACAACGTCTGAGTCTGAGTTATACTTGAGTCCGCCATCAATGACCAGATTATGACCGGTTATGAACTCAGCATCACTTGAGGCCAGAAATACCACACCTTTGGCTATATCTATGGGTTGACTTATCTTTCCGAGTGGTGTTAATCTCACAATTTTCTTAATTAATTTGTCCGGTGTTCCAGGTTTTAATATAGTTCCTGGACTAGAAATGTATGAAATTTAAGTACAAATGTTTTGCCACAACATAACACATACCTCAGAGTATTAACTCGTATACCCTGTGGACCCAACTCTATGGCCAACACATTGGATATCGTTGTCAGAGATGTTTTGGCCAAATTGTAGGCCAACAGAGATTTTTGCTATAAATATAAATGTTTATTAAATTATAAATTAAATTTATTATAAATTATAAGATAGTATTACCGGTCTCTCGGATATAATGCTTCCGATATTAACTACCGATCCCGTCGTCTTTTGCAAATACGGGACACTCAGTCGTATGAGTTGTAGGGATACCTTCACGTCAACCCTCAAAGATTTGTCCAAAATATCCAAAAAGTCTTTTTCAGTTCCGTTGCCCTCTATTAAGACACCGGCGTTATTGACCAATACATCTAATCTATTGAATGTCTTAATTGTCTCATTCAACAGACGCTCTATATCTGCATCTTTGGTCAGATCCGCCACAACTCCCAATGGCTTTACAAATGATATTCAATTTAAATATAATTTCTAAAACAAACAAATTATTATTATTTCATTTACTTTCAGCTTTTGTGGTGATAATTGTTGGACTTCTTTTACCACTGCCTCCACTTGTGATGCATTCCTACCGGTGACCACAACACTGGCCCCCAATGCCGAGAATAGTTTCACCGTTTGTTCTCCGATTCCAGAACTACTTCCGGTCACCAAAACTACTCTTCCCGTGAAATTACGTGAATCCCTCACCTCATCGTAGATATCATTGTTTTCAGTTAATTGAAATGCATTTGCATTTATGAACGCAATTAAAGCCAACAAATATATGGCAAACATTTTAAATAAACGATTGTATAATATTTATATAAAAATGTCTAAAGTATACTGGTAATATAATGTATTCAGTGGTTTCAAACTTCTAATTTCAATTGAAACCTTTTGCTTTATTTATATATTTGACAAAAGTGTGATAAGAAAATATTATATGTGCCTCACCTACCTTAAATGATCAGGATTAGTAATTTACTATTACTATATTTAATTAATACCCAATAGTTATCAAATAGTTTTATTTGTATATTTACTACTTCATTTGTTAATATTCAATTATAAAAGATAACAAATTAAATAAGATAGTACATTTTTAGGGCAATCTATAACGTTAAATATTACATTGTATTTTACGTTTAAATTAAGTACAATATTACGTTCAATTTAATACTCAAGTAATTTGTGCCAATAATTAAGGTTTATATATGTTCATCGTGTGCCATACTATTAGTAGCCTATTTTCATAATTGATTAAATTGACTGGATAAGTACAAATGGAGTACAAATGTGGTGTTATAACTCATTTGGAGGACTTTTCTATAGCATAGACAATATAGTCATGTAGTGAAAAGCTTTAAATTAACAGCTTACGATTACACATTGATCATGAATTAATGTATTCGTATGAATGAGTAAGGTGAGTTTTTAAAATGTGTAATCGTAAGCTGGGAATTTAAAGCTTTTCACTACATGACTATATTGTCTATGCTATACAAAAGTCCTCCAAATGAGTTATAACACCACAAATGGTGATTTAAAAAATATTTATCAATTTAAGATTATGTGCACTAAATCATATATTTTGCACTCAATTCTGGTTAAATTTATTTTCAAAGTAAAAGTCAAGTCTTTTAAATGACTTATTTTATGTGTCAGGAAAAACATCTTTTTAAAATAACTTATACAGTAATTATAAATAATATTAAATAAAAATTAATTAAATGTGACATTAAAATGGTAAATATAATATATTTAAATAATAGTATATTATAGTGATCATTTATCACTGATAAATAAGTAAAATCATTTAATTACTAAGGTATATTATTTCATCTGAATCAGTATTTGGACACTATAACACTTTTTGCCAGCTCAATTTGTTTTGCTTTCTCAAATATAAATGATTTATTTGTATTGTGCCTGATGCACAAATTATTGATTGATATTTTTGGTGACATTTCTAATGAGTACAGTATTTTGGACTACTTTTAAACCTTTCGCAAGTATTTTGATAAATTTGACTTTTTTTAGCTTTTAATATTTATTTTAAAAATAATTAAACAGTTTTAGACACAAAATTAGTAAATCACAAATTATGTATTAATTGCAATTAAATTAAGATCATTTATTTTAATAATTAATGTCTTTTCATTATAATTAAAACTAGTGATGTGTTTAATGTTTTAATCTAATCTACATTATTATTATCCACATCATTAAAGTCTGAGTCCATGTTATACTTGAGTCCGCCATCAATGACCAGATTATGACCGGTTATGAACTCAGCATCACTTGAGGCCAGAAATACCACACCTTTGGCTATATCTATGGGTTGACCTATCCTTCCGAGTGGTGTTAATCTTACTGTTTTATTGTACATTTTTTCCCGTATTTCAGTCGACAATACCATTCCTGGACTAGAAATGTATAAAATTTAAGTTCAAATGTTTTGCCACAACATAACACATACCTCAGAGTATTAACTCGTATACCCTGTGGACCCAACTCTATGGCCAATACATTGGATATCGTTGTCAGAGAAGTTTTGGCTAAATCGTAGGCTAACACAGATTTGACCTAGTTATTTAAAGTTTTATTAAATGAAAAACTAAATTAATTATTAGTAATTGTATTACTGGTCTCTCGGATACAGTGCTCCCGATATTAACTACCGATCCCTTCGTCTTTTGCAAATACGGGACACTCAGTCGTATGAGTTGTAGGGATGCCTTCACGTCAACCCTCAAAGATTTGTCCAAAATATCCAAAAAGTCTTTTTCAGTTCCGTTGCCCTGTATTAAGACACCGGCGTTATTGACCAATACATCCAATCTATTGAATGTCTTAATTGTCTCATTGAACAAACGCTCAATATCTGCATCTTTGGTCAGATCCGCCACAACTCCCAATGGCTTTACAAATGATATTCAATTTAAATATAATTTCTAAAACAAACAAATTATTATTATTTCATTTACTTTCAACTTTTGAGGTGATAATTGTTGGACTTCTTGTACCACTGTTTCCACTTGTGATGCATTCCTACCGGTGACCACAACACTGGCGCCCAATGCCGAGAATAATTTCACCGTTTGTTCTCCGATTCCAGAACTACTTCCGGTCAACAAAACTACTTTTCCCGTGAAATTACGTGAATCCCTCACTTCATCGTAGATATCATTGTTTTCTATCAAATGAAATGCATTTGTATTTATGAACGCAATTAAAGCCAACAAATATATGGCAAACATTTTAAATAAACGATTGTATAATATTTATATAAAAATATCTAAAGTATACTGGTAATATATTGTATTCAGTGGTTTTAAACTTCTATTTTCAATTGAAACCTTTTGTTTTATTTATATATTTGACAAAGGTGTGATAAGAATATATATAATATGTGCCTCACCTACCTTAAATGATCAGGATTAGTAATTTACTATTACTATATTTAATTAATACCCAATAGTTATCAAATAGTTTTATTTCTATATTTGCTCTTGATTTGTTAATATTCAATTATAAAAGATAACAAATTAAATAGTACTTTTAAGGGCAAATACAGGGTAGCCTTTTATTAACGATGCCACTTTAATTTTAATTTAGTTTAGTACCATGAAGTTTATTTATTTAAAATATACATTAAAATAATCCTGAATAGTTAGGGTTTTATATGATACATGATTTACCAATGTTATTCTTAATCCAAATTTTACAAAAATAATTTAATTTAAAAGTCTCTAGAATTTTGTGTTTTTGTATGCTATTCACAGCAATTTTAACATAAGTTTACATTTTATTCAAACTGTTATATTTTAAAAGTATATTTTTTATAAAATGACTTGAATTTGAATAAATATAACAAATAAAATTTATATAAAATGTCAGTTTTATGAATATTATAGTTGAAATGTGTAAAATCACACAAATATATTTTATTGACAGTTTCAACTGCAGATAAATAACTATGAATTGAATACAAAAACACAAAGTTTTTTATAACTTTTTAATTAAATTCCTTGTGTAAAATTCTGTTTACGAATAACATGGACATGTTATATATCATATAAAACCCTAACTATTCAGGATTATTTTAATGTATATTTTAAATAAATAAACTTCACGGTACTAAACTAAATTAAAATTAAAGTGGCATCGTTAATAAAAGGCTACCCTGTATTACATTGTATATTAAGGCTAAATTAAGTTCAATATAATATTGATTACAATTTAATACTCCAGTAATTTGTGCCAAAAATTAAGGTGTATACATGTTCATTGTGTGCCATACTATTATCATAGTAACATATTTTCATAATTGATTAAAAGTACAAATAAGTACAAATAAGTACAAGTACAAACTTGGATAAGTACAAATGGTGATTTAAAAAATATTTATCAATTTAAGATTATGTGCACAAATCATATATTTTGCACTCAATTCTGGTTAAATTTATTTTCAAAGTAAAAGTCAAGTCTTTCAATGACTTTTCAATGAATTGATTTTCAAAATGTTAATTAATACAGACAATTTAAATACTGTAGTATATAATTTTGTATATTGTTTATTGTATAATTTTGTATATAGCAAAACTCCACGACTTTTACTATTGAAGTTGTAATTATATATTTGAATGAACTCAACGCATACAGAAACATTGCATCATCATTGGCTTATAATAAAAAGTACTGAAAAACGGTTACACATAAAGAGTGTAAAAATAATGATAAAAACAGTTTGCATGCAACTGCACTGTAACAACATTGTGTTTTTATTACAGTATTTATGTATTATTTCTAAGCATTGATCCCCTTTATTATAAGCCAATGATGATGCAATGTTTCTGTATGCGTTGAATTCATTCAAATATTCAATATTCTGTCACTGAATACATAACCAAATGCACCGTAACCAGTGAGCTGTAGACTATACTACCAGTCCTGTCACATAACACCCTGTGTCGATGTATTGGAAAGCCATATAAGTTTATTATTGTCATCGACTCCGTAATCATTTATTATTCATTTGAGGCGATATTATATTAGGATTTGTTGCTGTCATCCATACAAATGCTTTTTATGAGTTTATCGTCAAAATTACTTATTCTTAATCTATTTTTTAATGAAATTCTTTGTCAACTAATATGTAATTTATTATACTGGTTCAAAATATTATTATTTATCATTGCAATAAAAAATTGTAAAAATAAAAAAATAAAAAATGTTTTTTTATAATTTATAAATTAAACAATTGGTTAAACTATGGGTTTATTTGTTAAATAATACGAACTTAACGTGTATTTTGTTAGTTTTAAAAGCATATAAATAGCTAAAAATAATATATGGTTTCGT